CCCACATACCTAAGGATTTAATCCCCACCAGGATCACTAATGCTGTCACTTTTGCCAAACAAGTCTGTTCATGTTTCGTGGGTTTATAACACTGCAGTACTGTTCAGTCTATTTATACACTACTGTGCAAAAGTCAGAGACCATTCATTATTTAATTCCCAGTCAAACTGGCCATTAAATACAATATATTCATTTCAGCAGCAGAACAGTATCAGCTGTTTGAGTGTTCAGTGAGTCACTCTTTACCTTTATTCCAGCTTCCATTTTTTTCAGGAGACTCACTTTCAGTTTCTCAAAGAAATCTGCAGACACACCTCTAAAGTTCAGTCTTAGAAGTTGGTTGATCATTTTCTGAAGTAATCAAACACATTCAGTGATGTTGAGGTCTGGACTCTGGGGTGGTCAGTCTATTGTTCAGCTTCTTTGTTTGATGTGTCTGTCTCCTTTTCTCAGTGACGCTTCTTGACAGCTACACATCCTTTCAGACCCATAGCGCTGAGTTGTCTTCTCAAAGTGGAAGGATGGACAGAAACACCTGTGGATGTTTTCAGATCTGAAGCAGCTTGATTTTCTCCTCTCTCTCAAAGATGAAAGCTTTGAAGTGCTGTTTATCTGATGGGGACAGTTTTGGTGTCTACCAGGTCTTCCAGGTGGTTGTTAGGAGTCTCAATTTTCTCTGTAGCTTTTAATAAACTCCTGCTTTTTCACTTTTTTCCTTTGGCTTTCTGCTTCCTTATGCGAGTGGATTATATCTAACCTCCTCAGAAACATCTGAAAAATGAATAACTTTTGCATAGTATTGCATTTAAATTTATGCAGTGGAATGTGACAGTGAAGGGTGCATCTCTTTTTAAAGGTAAAATATGTTCACTCTTGTAAAAATGAACAGATCATCTTTTTTCTATCATACAGCTGAGCTAAACAATCCGACATCTACATGTCTTATAAAGTCTGACGTTCATTTTCCATCGCTATGTCAGCTCTGCGTAACTGCTGATCTCTCTCCAAAAGAGCACATTCACACATTCCCTAAATAACTTGGTGACATCACTGAAGCAGAGGCTGCTGGGTAGTGGAGCTCAAACAGAGGCATCTTTTCAGAAGATTTCATGAAGAATCAGAGGCACAAATACTGTACACACACACACACACACACACACACACACACACACACACTGGTCCAGTGTGAAGAAGATCCATTAGGAACTTTAGATGAGCTCAGTTTTATTGAGTACACCCGTATGGGTAAAAATATATTCCGAATGTATTTCTCAAATATATGTTTGCAATGAATGAAAATGACAAAAATGTATTTGTTAAATATACTTTTTAAAATCCATGTATTTTTATGTTATTTTTCAATTGTATGTAGTTTTGATAAAGGTTACAGATAGAACTAAATATACATGAATAAATTATACTAACTTCTGTGATCTGCAGTGTACTTTGCATTAATCATGTTCATATTCCTTCTTACATTTCACAAATTGTCATTAGTTGTCATGACAAATTTTGTTTAGTATTATAACAGTGTTATATTACCATTACCCGTAATTGTCATGAAGCCATCATGTTTGATGTCATGACGGCTAAAGGCTCATTAATATTCCTTTCATACATGAAAATAAATACATCAATTTCAAACGATGGAACCGTCACTGCCCTTTTCATTGGCATGGATGTAAAGCAATACATCCACTGGAGTCTAGAGGCAAAAGTTTCTGACAACAAACATAGCGACGGTGGAGAAGGTCGTAGTAACAGAGAACTTGTAGAGAGGAGAATTGCCAGTCTGCAATGTCTTCCGGGTTTCTCAAACACTAGAGGGCGCTCCCGAACGAGTCCAAAATGAATGGGTTAATGAGTTTAAAACGGCGCCTCATGTACGTTTATGACGTCTGTGAGCGCGAACAATGAGCTGCTCCGCTCGCCAACCAATCATCACGCTCTAGCACTAATGCCCGCCCTTTGCTGCCCAAAACCCGTTTGCTGTAGAAAAAAAGGAAATATTTAGGTAGGATTTCTTTGTCTTTTTAGTTAAATACATCCTTCCACTTTCTAAAATTAAAGGAAAGTTCTGGGCGAGTGATTAGAAACTATTTTAACTTTTCGTTTTTAGCCGTTGAGTGCCTTTTACTCCCATTCATTGAGGACTCTCTCACAGGCGCCCTCTGCTGTTCAGCAGTCCTGTTTTTGGTATAACAGTGGCAATAGGAAGTGGCCAGGTTCTTCATAAACCGGCTCTGATAGTAATGTACCTACTACGAAAGCGACGAAAGAAGCAGCATTGTAGATGAAGGTGGCCTGTGAGGCCATTAAATTTAGACTTCTTTTCACTCAATGAGAGAAACTGATCATGTCTCGCTTGAACTATTGGCGACACTGCCCCCACGGTACCCCTCCATTTCATCCATATCCGAAAGGTTACTGAGAATGGGCACAAATACAGATGAAATGATTGTAAAATACAGACAGAAGACTCTGTCTGTATCCGTATTTAACCTTGAGCATAAATGAGCTTTAACTAAAATGCACAACGGGCTCTACCTAATAAGCAACATAAGCAGCTGCTTAGGGCTCTTCCAGCCATGAGGGGGCCCCTCACAACTTTTAGATAACTGCTGCAAGTTATCATTATGTTTTCTAATGAGACTCTGGAATAAGGGACAAAAAGTGGCTGATATCAAAAAGAAAAGATGAGCAGATAAAGTTAAAAGATAAAGATATGTTTTGGTTTCATTTTGAGGTTTTAAGATTATGCTGTTTTTTTTTGGCTTTTAGAAAACAGAAAGTAGTCACTCTGGACAGAGAATGCTGAGACACCGTTAGAACCCTGTTAGCATCCAATCATCAGCAGTACGCAAAATTATCTTTTTTTTTTACACCACTTGTGATAGTCATTGAGTTTGTTTACATGCACTTTACAATCTGATAACTACAGAAAATCAGATTTTGTCAGTAATCCGATCAGCGCGTTTATGTGCACTTAATTAATCAGATAATGGGGAAACTTCGGCTCTACATGAGTCAGACAGTAATCAGATTTCTGCTTTACAACCAGCCAATAAACTCACAGAATAAGACGTGACTTAAACTTAATGTAAAACTCAAACTTCATGCCACGGCTTTTTAAAAAAACATTGCGCCACTTTACCTTAAAATATGAACATACATCATCTAGAAGATGAAGACTATTTAAATCATTCATTTTGTTGAGAATGTAGTTATTTTCAGCATCACTCCAAAAGTGTTTTGCTGCCATTTCGCAGCAACACTGCTGGTGACATGACCATTTGAATAATCAGATAACTGCAGAAATTCAATTATGATTGGATTAGTGAGTGCATGTAAACACACTCATTGTTATTAGTTAACCTCTGATTTTACTGTAAATTAGCTAGCAAGATTACTGATTTGCTAATGTTATGTAAACAAAGTCAGGACTAACTACAAAGAGGATCAGTAACTAACACTGATAATTCAAAACGACAGCTTGAGGCCTCAGAGGAAAATTATTCTCTCCACTTTTATTTTAAACTGTTTATAAGGCGTAGGTCTGGGGGGAAGGGGTGCCTGGGCAGATGGGGGGCCCTCCAAAAAATCCTGCTTAGGGCCCCAAAATGCTAGGACCAGCCCTACTAGTGCACATTCGGCAACAATTAGCATGTGACATAATCTGTTTTCCAAAATAATACTTAAATATGGTCCTTCAAGGGTTTTTTAGTAAAGAAAATGGTTCTATATAGAACCATTAACATGACTGCATGATTAAAGGGTTCTTTGCATCAGGAAAAGGTTGTTTAGATTGTTGGAGAATGTGCTGTAGATGGTTCTTTATAGAAGCTTTTTGGAAAGGGTTCTATATAGCACCCAAAAGGGTTCTTCTATTGATACAAGCTTGACATCATAACAATAGTAGAAGCCTTCTCCATCAATCTGAAGAACCATTTCATGATGCAAAGAACACTTTAATTATGCAATCATTTATTTACAATAATTTTCTTTGCTAAATAACCCTTGACGAACCAGAACTGAAATAAAGAACTAAAGCAGATCATAGTGTCCACTCTGACATCACTTTAACATGCAGACATGAAAAAATGGACCAAAACTGCAGAGTGACTGAACCGTGTCTGCTCACGCGGGTCATATGACTCAGACACTTTCGCCTTCTCATCCTATTTCACTTCCTTTCCTCTGCTTTCCTGCTTACATCAGGGATAAGAAGCCAGAGCGTGTGGGATGAGACCCTTACACTGAAAACTAAATTCAGCTGGTTTTAATGTAAAGCTAATGCTCATAGACTCAAAACCAAATACTCACACTACTGTATTACTACTGCTTATAACATTAGCAGCTCATACCAGCCTATTCATCATAGTCATTATAGCCATAATAAATAAATAAATAAAATAAAATAATAACATTGCTGTGTAAACATCCTCATGAAAAGTGCAATGAGAACTTTAGCTGTATCACATTTCTGAAAACTATGTAGTTCCAATGATGTAAAATCTCCAAATTTTTAATTATATATTTGTTGCAAAAGTAATGAATGTTTGAAAAAGTGAATTTGCACATGCAATCCAATATATATACACATACACACAATGTATATATTCCTAGATAAAGATACTGAAAGCAACGTCCATTACATGATGCTCAACAGCAAGACATTATAAAATATTAAAAGGATATTTGTAACAAACTAAATGTGCAATCCTTTTTATATGTCAATCAAAATAATAAAAAAAAATATTCATGACTTAAAACAAGCTTATAGCCTATTATTAAAAGTTATTTTAAAGATGAAGTAATGTACAGCCTCATACAGCAGCTTAACTTCAGGTCTATGTGAATAAAGTAATAATTATTAAAAATGATGATTAAAATATTTCTCATGCATAATTGCAACTATCATCATAGCAGCAAAAAATACAACATATTACTGGACAAACAGACAAATTCTGTGAAAAGGGTCCATATTTGTGAGCAGGTACCTTGTATAACTGGGCTCCTCCTAAGAAAGGGCATCTCACAGCTGAAGAAAACGGCTCACTGTGACTGACCGGAGTGACCAGTGAAAGAAGAATGAAGAGCGGATGGTCATGACCAGCCTGGATGAGCGTGGACGGTTGTTCTGGTGTTTTCGATGAAAGGACCCTGGTGGCCACTGCAGGCCATGACACTTATCAAACCAGAGATAGAGAGAGAGAGAGAGAGAGAGAGAGAGCTGTTGTATGTTTACAATTGTTTACAATTATTTATTTTTTACTGTTTTCACAAGAGTGTGTGCAGATAATATTATAAATTAAATATAGACAGACAGACTGACTCACTGATTGGCAGAGAGACAGATAGATAGATAGATAGATAGATAGATAGATAGATAGATAGATAGATAGATAGATAGATAGATAGATAGATAGACGGACAGACAGACAGACAGACAGACAGACAGACAGATAGATAGATAGATAGATAGATAGATAGATAGATAGATATATAGATAGATGTAGGTTTAGATAGAGAGATAGACATAGACAGATAGACAGACAGACAGATAGACGGACAGACAGACAGATAGATATATAGATGTAGGTTTAGACAGAGAGATAGATAGATAAATAGATAGATAGACAGACAGATAGATATATAGATAGATGTAGGTTTAGATAGATAGAGAGATAGATAGATAGACAGACAGACATTTTACACTTTCCCTTTAACTTAAACTTATACATATGTATAACTTGTCAGACAGAGAGAGAGAGAGAGAGAGAGAGAGAGAGAGAGAGAGAGAGAGAGAGAGAGAGCGCGAGAGAGAGAGAGACTCCGCCCGATGAGTGGATGTCCACCAATAACATTTCACGTTTTACAATGACGTCAGCGCCGCGGCTGGTTTTCCCGGTTTCCGGTCCTTCGCTCTTCCTTTTCCGTTTGTTGGAGGCCTGTGTGGTGGAGCGCTAGGTGAGAGAGCGCTCTGAAAATAATCCAAAATAACGAGTAAAACTGATAAAATTGAGTTTATTACTGTCTAAAGAGACACTGCACTCATTTACCGAGAACTGTTCGAGCAGAGAAGCGCTGAAATGAGCGGAAAACGTTGTTGAAGACCGTTTCTCATGCGGAGAATGTTAGCGTTAGCTTTAGCTTCTCTCGAACACGTGTGTGTTAAGGTTTCTGTACAGTATCAATACGGAATATAATAGCAGTTTGTGGTGTGTGTGTATGTGTATTTCTTCCTTTGGGGCCGAAAATGTCTTTAAAGTGATGTAAACTCGGAAGCTGATGTTCGGCTGCTTGTTTTTTGAATTTGTCGTTCCACCTTAAAGGTCCCAGCAGTTGAATGCTGGTGCTTAGTGGGACGGACTGGAACTGCTAACGTTACACCACTTAAGGTGGAATGGAAAAAAATCGAATGAAATGCCAATTTTGCTTCATGTAAAACGTTAACTTTTCAGTATGTGCGGGCCAGTGGCAGGACTAGGTTACAATATATTGTTCTCAAAGGATTGGCTAGATTTCCTTACTAAAAATTCTAATTCCTAATTCCTAAAAGGTTTGAAAAAGAAGTAAATGAGTTATTTTGTAAGTCATTTGTGGGTTAATTCTTTTCATTCTTACCCTTATATGTATTTATTCTCCTATTTATTCTTATGTCACTTCACATTTATTAACTTGTGTACTGGTCCTATAATTTTATTTAGAGTTAAAAATGCTGTATTGAGTGGTTGCAGTATAATTGAGCATTTTTCATTCCTTATCCTGTTGTTTTTGTGCTGTGTATTGTTTCTTGCTCTTATGCCTGGTTACAGTGCAGGTAGATTACATGATGAGCTGGAAACTTGTTGATGTGTTGATTGTAGTGACTAACACCGTTACTATACACTGTGTAGGACCTGTGCTTTGACAGGCGGCAGTTTGTAATTGACACTTTTCTAAATGTAAATTTTTCACCTGATGTGTTCTTAGAATGCGTTACGTTGCTGCTTACCTGCTCGCTGCCCTCGGGGGCAAGGACAACCCCAGTGCCACTGACATCAAGAAGATCCTGGAGAGCGTTGGCATTGAGGCTGATGAGACTCGCATGAACAAGGTAAGACTTTTCTGCAGCTGTTGGAAATCTCCAGTAACTAAGAACAGAATGTAGAAGATTAGTAAAAGCCTGGTTTGAATATTTTGCATCATTTCTTTTTTTTTTTTGTTTTAAACCAGGTCGTGTCAGAACTCAGTGGCAAGAAAGTTGAGGATGTGATTGCCCAAGGTGAGTGCTGTGTAGAAGCCACCATTAAAACTAGTTTATCAGATTGTAGAAGACAAGTGTCTCTTTTGCTGTTTAGACTATATATTGTCAGTATGCAACTTTCCACCCCCTGCAACCTCTTTAAGCCAGGGTCCCCCCAGCATGTTTTAATGGGAGATCTCATTTTCAATGTACGATGCAAGATGGCTGTTTCTGACTTTCCAACCCTAAGGATTTTCACTCTCATACCTACATAATTTGTTTCATAGTTGTATATAGTAAGATTGTTCACAGAAATTACTGGATAATACTTTGTTTAGCTTAATGTAGGGGTGCTCTGTGGTGGACCTGGAGAGCTACCACCCTAGAGAGTTCAGATATAACACATCTTGCTCTAAGGCCTTATTCAGACTGCCAGTCCAAATCTGTTTTTTTTTTTGTGTGTTTTAAAGGTATATCCAGATTGATTTGTTTGGAATGCGAAAAACACAATCTGACTTTTGCATATCTGTTCCAAACCATGTTTAGAGCTGGTTTAAAATGTGATTCCAGTCAGATTTTTACAGATTTTAAAGTGTCTTTTGTGATGCTCCCAACGTCACAGTCACTGGCTTGATTTGAGGAAAAATAAATCTGATTTGCCTGCAGTCTGAACAGAGCCTAACAGTCAGATGCTCCTGAAATCCTTCATTACCCTGATCAGGTGTGTTAAATGAGGGTTGGAGCAGAGCTTTGCAGGGTGGAAGATCTCCAGGACCAGGATTGGGCACTCTTGGCTTAATAACTTGGTCTAGGGTTCAAGGAGTTAAATTGGATCTTTTAAATCAGGGCTGCCCAGTCCTGGTGATCTTCCACCCTGCAGAGCTTTTGCTCATATCTGGATCTGAATTCTCCAAGGTGGTAGATCTCAAAGATGGGGCATGCCATCTGTACATGCTTTGTTTTCAAACCTTATGGTAGTCTTACCCATTCAGCATTGTAGGCTATAAAAAAAAAAACAAATCTTGGACAAAAAAGCATGCTTTGTTCAGTAGGGCTAATACTAACTTGTCAGTGGGCACTAGGAAGGCTTTAAATGATTTAGCTGGACTGGCGAAGTCCATCATGCATGGCATGTGGTTAACTACAGAAAGAAAAAGTTAACTAATGTGACACAATTATAATTTAGGACCAAATGCTTTCCATTTGTGTCCAATAAGATACAAGACATCCTCTGTTAGAGGTCTGCATAGGGCTGTTTTCAGTCCCGCTCCTGCAAGATTTCGGTAGCTTTACAACTCTTTACATTAATTACAATTGTTTTACAGTTATCATTTTATATATAATTAAATGTAGTGATTGTTCTGCTTTATTTAGGCTATTCATTAATTTGCAGGAATTTCTCTTCATGCGTGCTTTGTCCCACTCCCACCTGCAGTGGGCTGGTTATCCACTCGCTTCCGCCCACAGTACTGAAAATTAGTCCTGCGCCACAAGATACTGTGGTGCAGGGCTGCACAACTCTAGTCCTGGAGGGCCGGTGTCCCACACAGCTTAGAGGTTACTCAAGCTGGCAATTAACAGAAGTGCAATCAGGTGTGTTTGAGGAGGTAAATCACCAAACTGTGCTGAACACCGGCCCTCCTGGACTGGAGTTGTGCACCCCTGCTGTATAGGAATACCACAGTAGTGCAGACCTTTGCCCCCATTCTGTTGCAGCATGCTCGTTTACCCTTGTTGCAGTCATTTTATCCTAACGTAAACTGAGCAGGTCTTTGGGCATGCTATCAGCATTAGAAAAATGGAACAAAATTGTGGAGCTTTCATCAGTACGACTACCTTAAATATTTAGAGATCATGCCCATATTTGGACTTGTTTCTTTAATGTTATGTTGATGGCTATATTGTTTTCTAATGTTGATGTGTTCTCTCTCTGCCAGGCTATGGTAAACTGGCCAGCATGCCTGCTGGTGGCGCTGTGGCTGTAGCCACCTCTGCTGCACCCGCCGCTGGAGGAGCTGCTGCACCTGCTGCAGGTTTGTGACTTCTTATTACGGACCTCGATTTCAGAGTTTGTAGGTAGTGATGCTCATACTGCATCATTCAGACCATTTCAGGAAACAATCACTTGCTCTGATCTAATTTTCAAAATCTGGGTTTCGCAAACCCCGTAAACCCAAAATAAAGAAATTCAGTGTGAACTTTGAGCAGCTTAGTTGAAGGCAAAATGTGAGGGCATTATTTACTTGCGTATAGAGAAGTGCTTTATAAGTTTACTGAAGATATAAAATTAATCTTCTGAACTTGAAATATTTATTCATATCATTGAACTGTTGCAAATTCCCATTAAAAAGCAAAACTTCAGAAGGGATACAGCCAAAAAAGTAATATCTGTAATACCAAAAAAGTCAAACAATTAAAGCCTCTCATACACAAACTGTCCCTGATGGTATTAATGTGAAAATTTACATCTGTAATTTCCTGTTACTTTGAGTGCTTTGTCAATTATGCATAAGAATAAGACTAATGTCAGCTGTAGTATCATATGTAGACATAGGTGAGCGTAATCCTGATTGGAGCAAGCTGAGTTGCATGATGCAGCCTGAACCTCTACATTCACCAAAATCAAAACATCCAATATTGTCTTGCTGTTTTTTTTCATAACTACACTCTTAAATGGTTCGTAGTGGTTCTTTAGAAAAGACAGTGGTTCTACATAGAACCATGAACACAGAACCATTTGCATGATTAGTTCTTTGCATCATGAAAGTATTTCAGAATGATGGAAAATGTTCATGAATGAAATTAAAATGGTTCTGTATAGCACCCAAAAGGGTTTTTCCATTGTTACAAGCTTGACATTGTAACAGTAGAAGAATCCTTTCGGGTGCTATATGGAACCATTTATAGCACATTCTCCATCAATCTGAAGAACCATTTCACCATGCAAAGAACCTTTTAATCATGCAAATTGTTTTTATTCTATATAGAACCAATCTCTTTACTAAAGAACCCAGGAAGAGTGTAGATGTAGCACCAGTATTTTTTCTGATTGTGCAGCCAAATGCAGCAGTGTTCATTCTACAACTGTCCCTGCTGCTGACTGCTCAGCCACTAGATGGTGCTAAATCCTTTTCCTTTCACCCTCTATACTTGGACTGTGCTTATGATGGGTTTCATGTTACTTTACCAAAGTATGCAGGGGCAGTTATTCTGTTTGAAGAACACAAAAGAGCTTTGTGAATGAATCAGCTGTGCTACACTTGCATAGGATTTAGAACAAGGAGGAACAGTGTTTAAATGGGTTGGAACTGTTGCAGTCTTAACCTGTTTAGATTGAATTGGCTGGTATGTGAAGGTGTTGCCTACCACTTTTTTGTTTTGTTCCGCAGCGGCTGAGGAGAAGAAGGAGGAGAAGAAAGAGGAGTCCGAGGAATCCGATGACGACATGGGATTCGGGCTGTTCGACTAAACAGTCTCATTGGGACCAGAATAAAGAATTTGTTAAAAAAATTCTTGGTTGTTTGTCTGGGATTTGTTGTGAATCTGGGTGTCATCTGTTCACATTATGCACCATTCTTTAATGATTTTACAGGTTCAAATATATCGTCAGCACAACTGCACCAGACTTTTTTTTTATTTATTTGTAGTTACTTTTTAGACTTGTTCATAAACTGCACAGCAGATCTCAGTGGACGGTCATTTTCTGCCCCTTTAGTAGCAACAGCAGTTCTGTAGCACTCAGCATTTGAGATGTAAAGTCTTTCAGAGTGTTTTGGTGTGAAATGGTTGATTGTAGAGACTCAGCTTTCTTTACAGTGGTGGTGATAGGAACCAGGGGTTGCCATGACTATAACACAGCCATTTTATTTTCTATCCAAAACCACCAGTGAACCTAGACATCATCTGAGCTTATATGGAATGTTGATGGTAAAATAGTGATGAATCTGAAAAGGCCATTTGGCATAAGGATGCACTGCATGTATATCTGCTATGAAAGAATTTTAAAAATCCATGTTTAAGACTAGGAGCCATCTCAAAACTTTTGTAAACAATGTGTCGGGCATCAGGCAGTGTATGCATGACCATTTCATGTAATAACTTTGAGAGGGAGCTTTTAGAGGTGGTTCCTAGCACCACCACTGAACATTTCTGACTATCTAGAATGGAGTATTTCACACCAAACTGCTCTGAATAAGTGTTTACATCTTAAACATTTAATTATCCAGAAATGTTAATCTAACAACCTAGTCAAGGTGCATTTCAGGATTGAAGTGGAAAAATTGAGGCTATCTCTAATGCAGCATTTTACATCTTAACTCTGGCTTTATTCAGTTTGGCCATATCTCCTTAATCTGTTACTTTTGATGAAGTTGTGTCTATAGCTGTTTAAGTATTAAGGATGTGTAAACCAAAAGATTTGAACATCATAGCCAGATAATAAGTGTGGCCAAGCTGAACCACAATTCTTGTCAATTCATGTTAATAGTAAGTATGCCATTCTTATTTCTGGATACAAGAAAAAAACGAAATAGAAATGATGTTTGAGATGCCGCCTGTCAGTTACAATGTTTTATAGTGGAAGTCCGGTTGCTGTTTTGGGTTCAGTACTGGCTGCCCTGGACCCCACTGATTGGCCACTGGTCAGCTGCTGCCTCCTCGTGTCCATAACCAATAAGACCCTGCGCAAATTCTCTTCTACACTGCATATGGAAGATGGTCAGATATTACAATTACACATTTAGACCAGAATTCGACTGCCTTTACATGCACTCAATAATCCAATCATAATTGGATTTTTGCAGTTATCTGATTATTTAAATGGTCAAGTAAACGGCACACTGATGTTTTTCAGTTTAGAGCAAGGTCTAGACATCCGATAATGAGAGCTGGATGTTAGCTCAGTAATGAGATTTCTCGGTGCATGTAAACTCTTGCCCTGATTTCTTTCGGATTTCTCAGTCTGCGCACGTGTGAAAACAGACGGCGGTACCAGAAATAAGCAAGCAGTGTTACCGCGAGATGGCAGCGACACTGAACCCAGCTACATGCTTGACGAAATGAAGGATTTAAATATTCTTCATTTTCTAGTATGTTCATATTTTCATGTATACTGACACGATGTTTGACATTATGTCTTACCTTATTCTTTGAATTTATTGGCCCAAAGAAATCTGATTACTGTCTAACTCATGTAGATCCGGAGTTTCCCAATTATCTGATTATTCAAGTGCACGTAAACGTGTTGATCAGATTACTGACAAAATCTGATTTCCTGCAGTTATCGGATTATTAAGTGCATGTAAACTCAGTGATATTACATTTTAAACATTTGTACATGTCTGGCTTTAGTGTTTGCTTTGTTATACTGAGCTGTTCAGGGCCCAGAATGAGAATATGAACCAGCAAAAAACTGCAGAAACATGATTTTCCAGCCTTAAAGCGATAATTCAGTAAGTTGACCATCTTCCGTGTGCAGTGATGGCAGAGAATTTGTGCAGGGTCTCACTAGTTATGGACACAAGGATGCAGCGGGGTCCTAACGGGGTTCAGACCCACAGCCAATACTGAACCCAAAGCAGCACAACACACCAGAGAACTACTATAATAAAGCTTGGTGTCATTGTAACTGACTGGCTAATTAGTGTATTTTCTTGTATCCAGAAATAAGAATGGCTTATTTGCTATTAAAATGAATTGACAAAAGCATTGTGGCTTGGCCGTACTTGTTTTCAACACTCACTAATATCTGGCTATGATGTTCAGATCTTTTTTTCATCTATATTTTGGTTTGCATATCGTTAATACTAAAACGACTATAGACACAAATGATTTCATAATAAAAGTAACAGATTAAGGAGATATGGCCAAATTGAATGCAGCCAGAGTTTAGAAATGCACCTTGACTAGGCTGTTAAAGTGTCCCACTGATTACTCAAAATTTCTGCATAATTAAATGGTCAAGATGTAAACAGAGTCATTCAGAGTGGTTTGGTGTGAAACGCTCTGTTCTAGAGACTGAGTCTGATTTACAGTCTTCCTCCTTTGCTTGAAATTTGTGCCTGCCAAGACTTGTTTGATATCTGAAGCCACCAATAATGTCTGTCTGCAGAGACGCAGAGACACACTCCAGCAGGTTCAAGCCAGTGGCATTCAGCGCATGCGCCGAAACTTGTTTTGGTTTCTCCTAGCGAGCTTTAGGCTAATCAACATTTCAGTCGTTTTATGTTGGTTTCCAATAAATTTGTGATAGATTTGCGTTGGGCTAATGTTATATTTTGAACTTTAGGCTGAACCAAAATTAGGTTTGGACGCAAATAGAGATTTACAGGGTAAATATTACACAAACTACAGCTTACGTGGCCTGGGTAAACAAATGGGTTGGGTTCTGGAGACCTGTTAGTTAAGCTAGCTAGCTCAAGTAACTAACCCTTCCTACTGTGGCTTTACGTGTAACGTTACACTCACAATACATGTGCAGGAATAACACTTTACCTTAAGAAGACTTAAACTGAGCATTACAGTAAGCTTCACGCTGCAACAAACTTTAGTTTTTGAACGTATGCCTGCTAAAAAAAATCCATAGAAACCATTAAGTGTTTCTTTTTGTTTCTAATGGTTTTGTAATGTGTTTCGGCTTACGGTTTAACCAGTTACCAGTGGTTAATTCGTATATTAGCAGCGGTATCCCTTCTTGAACGATAATATGCATGGCGACACATACAGCCAGCACAAACAGTCGCTGTTTACATCAGAGACGTTATAAATAAGGAGACCGGCCACTGGTTGAAATATGAATGTGACGCTTGTAACGCTCAACTTTCCTGTAAAGACTTGGTTTGCATGGCACCATCGCACTGTCCCACTGCGCATGCGTTACACTTGCCTGGAGTGAAACTGCGGGTGTAAATTAGCGGTTCTGCAATCAGACCCTTCTCGTCTGAAGTGCGCTTATTTGGTTTTGCATGGGACTATGAGGCTAATGTAGCTAAAAAGTAATGGAATCTTATACAGGCCGAAATAATCACACTAGCCCCCCAAAAAAGTCTGAGATTACTTAACACTAAACATGTTATGGCTGATCAACTACATTTTGGGAATAATTTGATTGTAAATTTGATTTTTTTACCATCTTGACCGTATAATCCTCAATGTCCGCTGACTGTTGATGTATTTATGCCATTCTTTTGGAACCCTTAGCTGTAAACCTTCACCCAGCAGATCACTTAGGCCCCTCTGTGCAGCACTTTGGCCCCTCTGTGCAGCACTGTAGTTTCCACATACATGGAAATAATTTCAGCTGGACTCCTTCCTGTCACTGTTGGCCTTCCACATGTCTCTGACACCTGCATCAGGAAGCTGTAGGGTCAGTCACAGGATCTGCATGGAACTGCAACATGAACTTCATGTAGAAGTGGATATTTGAGTTATAATGTAAAGTGTCCTTGGAAGGCTTCTGCAGCAAATTAGTACCAATGGCCATGGACATCATGCACTAGAACAATACTGCTGTGTCTGATGAAGAACTGAAAACCATGCATGGCCTCAAGTGATGACGTGTTTCTTCTCTGGATTTGCACTCACTGACAAGAGTGCCTCACTCATGTTTGTAACATATTAAACTCTACTTTTAGGCCAGAAGGCAGCACTTATTTTTTCAGTGTACACAAGAACCAGTACAGTACAAATGCTAAATATGTATGAAGACTTATTATACACACAGTGTACAGATAATGACACTGAAAATCCGAGGCGAGATTATACACATGGATTATCTTGTTTTTAATTAAGCCCAAAGGGAAAACATCAGGCTCTCCAGAGTAGATTTAGAAACTAACAATATACTTTTAATTGGTTCTGTAAGGTCAGTAATAATAATTGGTTGGATTTAGGTACAGTTGTGTGTTTAGAATGAAACCAGCAGACTGTGGTAACTGTACCCAATCAATATAGAGACAAATGAAAACTCAAGGCCTTTTCATACAGATCTGCACAGAATAACTTAAGTTCAATTTATTGATCATTGCATGGTCATATCCAGTAAGTGGTTGTAACTAAATCTGTGTGCGACCTTCAGGAAGCTTGAGGAGGGCACTGTGAGAGAACTGATACTCAGCAGATCACTCAGAGTAGCCAACACAGCTTTTGCTCTTTCTTGGTGAGTTCAATGTAAACTGACCATCCACTTTAATAAAAACACCTACCTTGTACTTCCACCAACTGGCCACTTTATTAGAAACACCTACCTTGTGCTTCCACTCACTGGCTACTTTATTAGAAACACCTACCTTGTACTTTTATTAACCGGCCACTTTAATAGAATCACCTACATTATTAATCCACTATATAGGTGTACATTTACAGACAGTATCTGATCTGATTGTTTATCAGTCCCCTTTACCCCATTTATCACAGGACCACTAATCCAGATATTTGGGTGGTGGTCCATTCTCAGCACAGCAGTGACACTGATATGGTAGAGTGTGATATGAGGTATACAGAGCTCCACTCTTC